CCTCTCCCATGACTTGGTGGACTGGGGCCGTTTGAAGCCTGATGAGAAACATTTTATCTCACATGTCTTAGCCTTTTTTGCCGCCAGTGATGGTATTGTCAATGAGAACCTGGTAAGAAAGTGGTGTTTTATTCCTGTAATAAATACCTAGTAGTTTAAATTAGCAAATTAGCCTTTCATTAAATCTATAACATTTAAATAATTCAATAGTGGCAGTTTTTGGAACCCATTTTCTGCTCAGTGATAACTGATTATTGTGTGTTTTTGCAAATGTAACCAGTGGAAAATTTCCTCATGTGGTTCAACGTTTTTTTTGGGGGGGTTTCAACAGGTGCAGAGGTTCAGCCAGGAAGTGCAGCTTCCAGAAGCACGCTCCTTCTACAGCTTCCAGATCCTCATAGAGACGGTTCACTCAGAGATGTACAGCATGCTTATCAACACCTACATAAAGGATCCTAAAGAGAGGTCAGCTACCTATTCCAAGTGTTATTTCTTTGTTTTATTTTGCCCTCTCACATCACTTCTAGGTTTCGGAACACACAGATTGATTGCTCTTATTGAGCAAATACCTGAACATCATCTTGATTTTCAAAATAGTTTATTAAAGACGGCTATATATCCTTAAAAGCCTCTATATACTAAAGTATTCCTGAGAGTATTTATTTGTATATGTGAGTATATCATCAACTGCACACATTAGATCAATTACTGGGCTTGTAGAAGTTTAGTTAGGTAATCAAAGCCTAACGATTGAACATTAAATGCACAAATATAAGCAGCAAATATAACCATTATGCACTCAGTATACTCATCTATAAGAGAAGATAGCTCCTGAAAATATCTGGATTGCTCACAGGCTTGAGCTCCTCTGGGCTTTGCACCACAGCGGAGCAGGCATAATCTAAATTAGGATAACGCAGGGCAGAGAAGAGCTGTACTAAGTGTTAAGTGTGGGTTAGGTTGCAGGTCAGAACTCCATTACAAAGTTTTGGTTGACACAAAAAACAAGCACTGTCCTTTACCAAAAGAATGTCATACTCCGTGAAAGATAGTGGCTGCATCCTGCTTTCACAGAAGGAACTGTGGTTCTTAGATTTGACCCAAAATGCCCAAGTGTCTACTTTGGAGCCTGAGGGATTTTAAGTTTTACAGTAAATTAATAACACCAATTTAATTTATAAAATAATTTCTTTAGAGAGAATAATGGAACATTAGGAATCATCAAAAGTAAGAAAAAAAATCGATCTTAAAATCTGTGGGCTTATCTGAAAAAGATGGTATTCTAATATAAGAGACAGTTTGCAAAGTCATATCCAGTAAGCATTGGTGTATCTTATATATATTTTTTTTATTTCTTACAGATTTTTATTTTTTTTTTTAAGTTAAACCTCATTATATTGCAGGCATTGCCTTTGTCTCAGTCACTGTTTCACTTTACATCTGTGTTTTAGGGACCACTTGTTCAACGCTATTCAGACCATGCCTTGTGTGCAAAGAAAGGCGGATTGGGCCCTCCAATGGATAAATGACGACCAGTCCACCTTTGGTAGGCCGCGAAACTTCCAAAAAGATCACTAATAATTGAATTCATATAAAACAGCAACCCACACTAGAGGAACATCTTTCTTTTGGTAGCTTAATAGCTTTCATGTCTTTGTCCACAGGGGAGCGACTGGTGGCTTTTGCAGCTGTAGAGGGGATCTTCTTCTCAGGCTCATTTGCTGCCATCTACTGGCTAAAGAAGAGAGGCCTCATGCCCGGCCTTACCTTCTCCAATGAACTCATCAGCAGGGATGAAGTGAGGGGGATAGAGATTCTTTTTCTTTGAACTGTTGAAATCCTTATTTTTTTTAAATAAATTGGAAAAGTATTGGGATGTAGCAGAGAAAATGTCATAAATAATGGTTTATTCAGAGTATTAAAAGGTACTACCCATTTCTCTAAAAAAAAATCCAGTAATTATTAAATATTTTCTCATTTCTTTTTTAAATGTGAAGAAGAAACTCAGCATTTCTGCTTATCCAGGTTAGCTTGGAGAATAGTTTAATTAAAGTACTGGAAACAATGAGTGATTTGTTGTATTTAATTTCTATTGTTAGATATGTTGTATACCTGGTTATAATTTCTATAAAAGCATATATCATTGTTACAGACCTATTGTATTCTCTGTCTTCATATGTTTGATTATTTTTTTTGTAAAACACTTTAACTTATGTTGTGTCGTGAATAAAGTAGAATTTCTTTTTTTCTTTTCCCAGGGTCTGCACTGTAACTTTGCCTGCCTGCTGTACAGCTACCTGGTAAAAAAGCCTTCAGAGGAGAGAGTCAAAGATATTATTGGCAAAGCTGTTTGCATTGAGCAGGTCAGATAATGTTATTTCATATTGTAGGATTTTGTGGCCTTTATGTTTTTCATGCCGCATCGTTTCGGTAAATCATTTCTCTGTGTCCTGTGTTTTAGGAGTTTTTGACGGATGCCTTACCGGTTGATCTTATTGGCATAAACTGCTGTCTCATGAAGCAGTACATCGAGTTTGTTGCCGACCGGCTGCTTATTGATCTCGGATTGGCTAAGGTACTCATTTAAGGAATAATAAAACGCAATTAAGTCAATATATCAATGTGATTTTGTCCTGTAATTAATATAATGGTATAAAAGTAATGGTATTTTTGGTATTGAAATGGTGAAAAGAAAATATATTCATGAATTTCTTTATGTGAAATGTGTATTTTTGTGAAAAAATATAATAATTTATAATAATTTATCATTCTCTCTTATCTTTGTTGTCCTTAAATAGGTTTACAATGTGGAAAATCCTTTTGACTTCATGGAGTCCATTTCTCTAGAGGGAAAAACAAATTTCTTTGAGAAAAAAGTAGCCGAGTACCAAAGATTTGGAGTGATGTCTAGCATGGACTGTGAATTCACTCTGGACGCAGACTTCTGAAGATGCCACGAGGACGGCATCTTTACAGTCATCGTTTGAAAAAAACAGCAACTCCCTGGATACATCTAGAAGTTTTCTTTATCTAAACATTAAAAACAGATTTTCTTTGATAGATTTTAAACTGGGTGAATTTTAGCTAAGATTAATACCAAATTATATATTATAACTATTATGCTAAAGTAAAAGGGATTTTCTTGTGGTTGATTGAAGGTTATATCTTTTTTTTATATCTTCTTTAGGTAATGAATTGTTTCAGGTTTAAGCTGATTTGTTGAACCTTAAAATCAAACGGTGCTCTTACTTTTCTTTATGAGGTATTGTTACATTTGATCTTTTTATTTATTTATGGAAAATTTAACGTTGAGTAAAACTTGCCAAACCATTGTTGCACTATTATTTGTCCATACTTATATTCTGTTGACAAAAAAGTAAAGGTTTATTATTATTTAGAATTAACAACCTATATAAGAATAGTGGGATACAAATAAAGTCCTTAATTTTTTTTTCTCTTTGTTTAGGTTTTTTATTTTTTTATTTAAGATTTAGCTTTTTCCTTGAACATTTAATGTTAGTCTCAAAAAAAACTAAACCCCACTTTGACATTAAACTTTTTTTTCTATCAAATCTGAATGTAATGCAGTTTGCTGTTTCTAGGTCATGGCTTGGTTTTGCTCTAGACTTTTATATTGTTCAATAAAATAAAAGTTTTTAGAAAAAAATCAACTTTTGCCAAGAGATAATTTTTGTGACGGCGTTTAAAGCTTCTATCTAGGTAAAAATCTACCCTTAAGAGAAACCACACAAGGCCTCTGGTCAGATTTAGGTGTTTTTCCTCCTCTTTTTTTATTTTTAATCCAGGAATGAAACTCTTAACTACCAACAAAGGCAATTCTAGGACCAAGGTTTGGGGATGCTGACCACAAAGAGAACTATCTTGCTAGACATGATAAATGTCACTGTTTTCTACATTTTTTAAAACTTGCTCAATGCCAAGGATCTGAGGATTTTGCCAAATACCCAACAGGTAAAGCAGAAAGCAGCACTTTTTTAAGAATATTCCAACCATTTAAAGCTTTTGAACCAGTTTTCATTAAAAGGCTTTTCAGTGTGCCAAACTGGATGACTGGGAACTAGAACAGTTCTGTTAATGACCCATAGTCTTAAATCACAAGGCAGAATTTGAGGTCCTTTGGCTTGGTGGTTGGTATGCTGCTCTCTCAGTGCCTCCTCTCCCCCTGCTCTGCTCCTTCTCATATCCCTGTTGTTCTGCTTGTGCAGTGAAATTAAGCCAGTAGTAACGCATATAGATAATAAATAATAGATAATAATAGAAAATGTACTAAAGATGTCTTGTTTAGACAGAAGTTCACTGATATATTAAGTTTATGGGCGCTAAAATGATTTACTGAATGGAAGGCTTTGTCAGCTTAACTGCTGTTTGACTTGCCACTATTCTGTTTTTTTTTCTTACCCACTTTTTTCTGACCCTTGCACTTTGTACACACCTTGCTCCTCTTGTACAACCCTCCCTCTTTTGGCGGGCTATAATAAAATCAATTCTATTTAACTTGATGAATATATACAGCTGTTCTTGAAGGTTAAGACACACTCATAGAAAATGATACATAACAGTAATTTAGAAAATTATTCTAATTTTCATAGAATTTTCTTTTATCACTTTTTTCAAAGTTAATGTATTTCAATGGCAAATGATTTCTCCCATCTTTAATGGATGGTTGGATGATGGATTAAACCATTTCTTGCACGGCGGTAGGGGGGTTAAAGTATTGCTTTTAGAAGGAAGTGCTGTATAGTTTTTACAAATTTTTATTTATTTAATTTTTTTTTCTTTTTTTTTCAAAAGGCGCACACAGAAAAAAACCCTCCAATTTTAGGGATGCTTTGATTTTTTTTTTTTTTTTTTTTTTTTTTTTTTTTTT